GAACCGTGTGCTCCAGAGTTTTGCCAAATTCCTGTTCTTGGGGGACCTGGTTCTAAAATGAAAGACAAGGTGTTGGTAGACCTGCCTCTCATTGCATCCCATGCTGTGAATGGTTGGCACTAGAGCCTAAAACTGGAAAATAAAACCCCCAAATTCAGTAAAAAAAAAAATAGTAAGACTTGGCAGTCTAGGGCAGATTCTAGTGTTCCGAGCAGCAGGGCAGGGTGAAGGGATCCTGGCACCCTGACCCTGGAAGATCGTGGGCCAGCCACTTCGCCTCAGTTTCCTCATTTGTAAGACAAGGGAGTTACGCAGCTAGTGTCAAGGTCTCTTCTTGCCCTCTCACTCTCTGATGACTCTAAGATGAATCCTGGGGAACACACAAATAGTTAACTTTCAATTTTAAAGGTTAGAGGGAAGAAAACAGCCCAGCGTCAGATATATCAATGCTGCCTCGTCCCGGGCTGCAGAACTTAATGCACTTCTGAAGATTAAACCAAGCAGGCTGACTCTGTTGAAATGTCAGGCTTCAGTGCAGGGTGTTGTTAGACATCTGCATTACTTGTTTTCTAAACAACGTTACTCTGCCAAGAATGAATCTGTGTCATCATCTAATGGCTCTTGTCATTTTAGTGTGGTGATCAAGGAGGAAAAATGAAAGTACTTTATGTGGAAAAACAGATAAGATATGAAAGTATTTCATAACCCAGAGTGCAAGGCTGTCTGCAGTATAACACAGATCTATAAATAATTCAGTTAAAACAGTTTACCTGCTTTACATGAGTGGGTTCTGTTCACTGATCTTCATTCGAGTTCACACTAAAGTTATTTAACTGCAGGCTGCATATTATATCACACAGACCAAAGCATTATAGATTTTTTCCAAACGTAATATACAAATCCAAATTGATTGCAGCCAAACGTAAATTTAGTCAAATCTTTAATATACTCTATTAAGGCATGAATAAGACTTTAAAACTCTGTCTTAGCTACAGAGTAGCTGAGACTAGAGTCAAACCCATTGCAAACAACCAGAATAGAAAGTTACCTTTGGACATGGTATTTATTCTCAACAGTGTAATATCTAAAATAATAAATGTGTTTTCAGATGTAAAAATGGGCATTACCTGTCATTATAAAATGACTAAATTTACAATGACAACATTTAAAGAGACTAACCTCTATGATACTGCTCACAGGCACATGCCTCACATTTGTCACTGGCTGTACCTGTATGCTCAACGCTCCCTTTTCCTAGAACAAAAATATCTTTCAAAACACAGGAAGAAAAGCACCCGCCATTTTTCCCACCTCCAGTTGAGATATGTATATTCCAACAGCCTGCCAGGTAGTTGGCAAAATATGCATTATTCCAGGATGGCCAGGCGAAATTTAGAATAAGAAATGCAAAATACATCCTGGTGCTTCAGAATTGTTTAGGTTTTAAGTAATCTGGGGTTCCCTTATATGGAAGACTTCGTATGACAAGATGGGATAAACCTGTTCTACAGTAGAGCAAGAATGCATACTCGGAAATAGGATCAGGATTCAGCACTGATGGCACTGTGATATGATAATCACAGGCTACATGGGAGATTCCTTGGGACTCCCTTGGTTTGACATGGGTATGTAGCTGGGAAAGGGACAGTTGGGCGAATGGAAAGAGGAGGAATTAGGGAGGTTTGCTACTTTGGGGAGGGGCTAGCGAGGATTATTTTAATCAGTGCTGTCCAGTAGTGTAGCCACTAGCCACATGTATCTGGTACCAAGGAAATGTACTATAAAAGTCACACTGGGTTTTGAAAACTAAGTATGAAAAAAGGAACCATCAATAATTTTTATATTGATTACATGTTGAAATTACAGATGAAATGATAGTATTTGGGGTATATTAAATAACAATATTAAATTGATTAACTTCACTTGCTATTTTTGCTTTCTGAATGTGGCAACTTGAAATTTGTAAATTACACATGACTTACACGATATATTTCCAGTGGATAGCACTGCTGTGTATCCATTTTACATGGTAGAATTATGGTTAATGTTTGCTTTCTTGGGGTTCCCTATTTTTCAAAGTGAAAATATGAGAAACAGACTATATTCTGTTTTGATGAAAAAATATATATCATGGATTTTGGAGTCTGACAAGGATGTATCCTAGCTATAGCACTTGGGCAACTAACTCCTTCATTTGTTAAATAATTAGGATAATAACCATTTTAACCTCACCCAAACGGTTATTACCAGGTTGTTGTCAGGAGTGAGCAATGCATGGGAAATTAGCAGAGTGCTTAACATAGAAACTGGCATGGGGAAAACTCGATAAATATTCCATGTTATTCTAGGTTATATCTCGAGACCTGTCAGATGCATGATTTTTTAATCTAGGTCCATTTTTAATTCAGATCACTGTCTCTCCTGCTCTTCAAGTTTGTACTTGCTAATGTACCTACCTACTTCTACAGCCAGAAAGCTGAGCTTTCCCTTCTTTTCCTTTATCATTGAGCATCTCTGGTCTGATACCCCATTTTCTGCTACTTGTTCAGACTGAGCTTCCTCCTATTTAGTTACTTTAGCTCATTTCGATTTCAGAGCAAGAATTTCTTCCTGGCTGAAACTACAAACCATTCCACAACCCTTTATCTGCCCCTATCCCTGCCTCCTACCTGGATGCTGGCTCTTGCTTCTTATTGAACCCCACTTCTTTGGATGGGATGATGAGTTGATCACGCAGTTGACACTAGGCAAGTGCGTGTAGAGAGCTAACAGAAGAATAAGGGTCATGTAAACAGGAGATCAAGAGAACAAGGTGCAAAGACAGGACAGAAGAAAAGCAATTTTGATACTTCTCTCCCACACACCCGCCTTCTCGTCTCATTGCCTTTGCCTGTTGGCTTTAAAAGCCATGTGATGTTCAGCTCTTGGTAAGTACAAAGTGCTTCTCATCGCCTTTCTGGATTCTCACCACCTGAAGTACAACCTCCTGCCGTGTAGCACACAGCACACATCTAAAACCGTGCGCTCAATTTTCATATTCTGGGAGGTCAGTTCTCAGATGAAGATGGTTGTACTTGTGTTCTGAAATTCAGTGACAGGAAAGAGGGGAGGGGAAAGTAAAACTTTGTGAAGATGCGTAGCTTCCCCAGGTATGGTATGCTGCCTGGCTCCCTCACAACTAATGAGTCAGAGCTGCCTGAGGGGCAAGCAAGGAGCAGGAGCTCAAGAATGAATGTGGAATATCACAGGTGGCTGGAAGCACCTACATTCCTCAAAGCAGTGAAAAAAAAAAAAAGATCCTGAATTCCTATGCAAGTATTTTTTTAAAAAATCAGAAAAACATTGATTTTTTTTTGTTGTTGTTCCCATCCAGCAGCTATAACTAGGTGATTGAGAATATACTCTTGACTTAAGGTGGTATTTTTTGTCTTTTCATCAGATCGATATGTTACTTTGCCTGTTTTATTTTTAGATTTACTGAGTATTCTCAGGATAGCAAATTCAAAGGAAAGAAATAAGCAAATTGGTTTGCATTTCAAAGCTAAGGCTGAGGTTCCACAGGAGAAACCCTTGAAAATCAACAAGGGAGATGAGTTTCCAAGGCCCTCCTTGCTGACATAAGGGGTTTGTAGAGGATTTGCTGCTGGGGCAGCTGAGTTATTTAAGGTACAGAGAACTCACACCTAGGGTCCCTGTGCCACCAGGCAAGGGATGCTCAGGCCAGTGTGTGCAGGAAGCCCAACTTGGGATGTGTGAACATGGCTGTTTTTCCTGAAGCATTTACTAATGAAATAGTTATTACCGTTGATCATAGGCAGGAAGCGTTCATTGGCAACCATCATTTCCCTGTAGTTTCCTGGAAAATCAGGTTTGAAAATGTGAATGAATTTTCCTTATTATTATCTTATGATTCAAATTAGGGAACAGGAGGAAGCCTTTCTGAGAATATGAATACTGCATTAAGATACCAGCTTTCTACACAGGAACTTACACCCTGGTGTCTTGGCTTCTTCAGGAAAGAGAGAGCAAATGCTCTGCAGATTTCCTGATCTTCCTTTTTTCTTCTCTCTCTTTTTTTTTTTTTTTAGGTCACCGTAGAGAAACTCTTATGATGCTTGTGATCAGTTGTTGGTAGGCTATGTAGCCTCCTTTTCTCTGTCAGAACTGTAGAAATGGTGATGATTGTGCAAGTTTTGAATGCAAATAGTCGGCATGCAAATGTTCCTGCAGTCCCCATTTGATCCCCATGGAGGGACCCTGAAAGGTGTCTCTTCTCTAGGGCCTGCTGACACCGAAACTCAGTGCTGCAAAAGCAGTGAGCATATTCCTGGCTGAACCTGAAGTTTTATATTTGTCATTGTTCGGGGGTAATTTTTCTTCCACGTGATGGTGGAAGAGATGATGTATCTAAAAGTGTTTGAAAAGAAACAGATGCTCTTGCAGATATGAGCATCATGATTACAGGTGTGCACACCTAGCACATGCACCCCCCCCCCAAAAAAAAAATTCTCAGTGACAGGCTATTCCTGATATTGCTTCCCCTGAAATCAAATGCAAAAATCAGTGCCATTAAATATGCTTCCTTGTTACCAAAGGGACACTATTTCCATTCGACTTAAGAATATCACTGGGTCTTCTTTGTGCATTTTTTAAAATACAGTACTGTATCTATACATCTATTTCTTTAAAACAAAAAGACAAAACCGGATTTATGGGCAACATAAAATGCTTTCCAGATACACAACCATCAATGAAAACATTTTTTTTTTAAAAAATGAACAGACACCAACAGGTATAAATACACTGTCTGAAGCATTTAATGGTCTTTAATACAGCCAACTCTCCTCCCCGGGTTTGAAACAGTGTTCAGTTCTCTTTTCGCTAGTGGCAAAAGCGCCTGCCAAGCGCAACACTGAAAGACACTGGTACCGTTTCTGGCCAAGCAAGCACAGAACCGAGGGGCTGCGTATTTCACGGTTTCCACTTATTCGCGTGTTTTGTTCTCACGCTGCGCTGTGTCGCTCTGTTTCTCTCTCTCCCGCCCTCGCCCGCGCAGGGCTGATCGTGGTGACCCTGGCCGTCTGCTGGATGCCCAACCAGATCCGGAGGATCATGGCCGCGGCCAAGCCCAAGCACGACTGGACGCGCTCCTACTTCCGGGCGTACATGATCCTCCTCCCGTTCTCGGACACGTTCTTCTACCTCAGCTCGGTCGTCAACCCGCTGCTGTACAACGTGTCGTCGCAGCAGTTCCGCAGGGCGTTCGCGCAGGTGCTGCGCTGCCGCCTGGCGCTGCCGCACGCCGACCACGAGAGGCGCCGGCGCGCGCTCGCCGGCTCCAGCGCCGCCCGCGGGCCCCGCGCGCGCTCCGCCCGCCGCCCGCTGCTCGTCGCCTCCCTGCGCGGGGCCTCGGCCAGGGCCGCCGACAGGGTCCTCCTGAGCACGTTCCAGGGCGAGGCCAAAGCCCAGCCCCAGCCCCAGCCCCAGCCGCCGGGCCCCGCCTCGCCAGACCCCAGCTCGGAGACGAAACCGGCCGCCGCCGGCCCCGAGAACGGTTTCCAGGAGCAGGACGTTTGAATGCGGGGTGGGGTGAGCAGGCTTCCAGCGGGAACCCGCGCTCCCTCCCCGCTCCAAAGCAGCGTGGCCCTCGCGCAGCGGACACGACAGAAACTGTGCCCCCCGCCAGGGACAGGATGGGAGCGAGAGGCTGTGGGAAAGGCAGGGGCCACCTTAGCAGTGACTTCTAAGGCCTTGGTTCTGCCAGCCTGGCCTTGACTCTGGTCACACCACAGGGGGCCGAACTTTCGCTCTGTGGCCCCCTTCCTTCAAGTGTACACGCCGAAAAATTCAGTCAGGCTGAATTTATTCAGAGCTTACAAAAATGCTTTTACATGGAGCTCTTTGCAAAGGAACAAAAAAAGAGAACACACACTCCCCTCCCTACCCAGGATAAAAGGACACCCAGCAGACACTCGGGGAGGTGGGGGAGCAAGGGCCGGAAGAACAATGCAGGAGGGGGCGGCATCTCCTTCGGCTTCAGCAGTGTGCCAAGAAGAGGGCCAATTTGAGGAGCAGGACGGTGGTGGGGAGCCCCGGCCTAAGGGCCGAGGCAGAGCTGCCCCTTTTCTTGGGCCTTGGCCCGTTGCAAAGAGGGGTGTTGCAGCAGCTGATGCACACTGAGTTCAGTTTCCCTGGGGAGCAGAAGGACTGGTAGCCGGCAGAGGCGATGAGGCAGGCCGCTGATGACGCACACGACTTGCGGTACATGATCCCTGCAACACAGACCCAAAGGAGCCGGGTTAATGCGCACTGGCCCAAGGACAGCCGTCCTTCTGAGCCCAGATCTGAACCACAGCTCATCCTTCCTCCTCCCGCAGCCCAGAGACCTGGTGGGGCCAAGGAGGTGCTTCCACTTGTTTGACTGAGCTCCCCAAAATACACAAGATATAATATATGGCAAAAGAGGCAGTCACATTTTACCACTTTTTAACAAAATTGTTCCCAAATCTACTTTAGATCCCAATATCAGTGAATAAAGAGCTGTTAAAATGAAAGTCTGTTTTTTTTTTTTGAAGTCAGAGTTCACACTGTGCACAAGACATAGCTTTTTATTTACATTTTTAAAATTTTGGTTCAAACTATCTCATGTCAGCTAGGACCACAAGTGGTGCTTCTAGATCTTATCTCTGTTATTACTTTATAAGCAACCCCAGAGAGATGGCTCTCAACTGTGTTGATTAAATCCTGGAGTTCTTTGAAGAAAGACCAAATCCCAAAGGGGAATAAGTCTGATCCCTACTGAAGGGGCCCTGATTTTTCTACTGATTTTAGCGTAGGGGCTGACACTGTGCCCAGGACAGCCTTATTCTCAGGAAGGAAGCTCTGTCCTCAGGACACATGGCCATCTGCCAAATCAGGGCCACCCGCTAGCACTCAGTAACACATGCAGTCTGGGCTCAGAAAGGAACTTCCCCAGAAGACTGGAAGGCCTGTCTCAAGGATCGTATGTATCCTGTCCAAATCACAGTATAGTCATCAAATTAGGGTGTCTTGGATAATCATTTGATTTCTTAAAGCTGGATGTTGACACAATTCCAATCATAATGCTAGCCAAGCTTTATTTAAGGGATTTCCTGCCTGCCAGGCACTATTCAGATGGCTGTGGTGTGCTAGCTCACATACCACCTGCAGCAAGTCTACGAGGGAGGCGCCCCACTTACAAATGGGGAGCCTAAGGGCCAGAGAGGTTTAGTCACGTGTCCAAGGTCACACATGTAGGAAATGGAACTATGATTTTTGAACCTAGCATTCTGGCTCTATGTGTCAAGACTATTACTGTATAGCAAAGAGAACACCAAATTAACCACAAAAATGGTGGGGCTCTTTTGTGTGTGGGGAGGGTTTCCTCTGAAGATTGTTTTTCATGCATGGGTGTGCGGTTGTTTTATATCAACAAAAAAATTTTTTTTGTACAGATACTATTTAATGCTTAAGCTGAACTTTGAGGTGAACGGTCTTAGCGTGATTGCTGCCCTACATGGCCGAGGGACATGGCACTCCTGCCAGCCGCCCGGGTTCCTTACCTGCTCCTTCTCGGCAGGTGTGTGGGCAGGTGTGGTGTGGGTTTGGGCTCCCTCCTCTTTGAGAATTGCCACTTTGGGTGTTGCAGAAACAGTAAAAAATCAAACTGCCTAAAACTTCCAAATGGGAGGCAAAGAAGTACTTTACCTTAAAACATGCAATTCTATGTCATATCTTTCTATAACTGATTGCTTGTAAAGATTGATTTTCTAACCCTGTTAGAAAATCCTGGAAGGTGAGAGCTCTGGTGAAAGCCCAGGTACGGAGGACACCTGTATGTGCGTGTGGGAGGCATGTCTGATTTCCAAGGCATATGCTTCCGGGACCTGCCCATTTCTACATTTCCCACAATCCCTACGTTCTCTATCCACTTCCCCTTTTAGGAATGCAAGTTTTACTCACTATCTTTTTCTTAACTATTAAAAGCATTGTCATTTGCCAGTTCAACTACAATGAACATTTTTCTCTTAAGTAAAAATTTAAAAATATTTACCAAATATATTTTTCATTGTAAAACAGTTCAGATACCCAGTAAGGTGAAAACGCCCCTTGAGTACTCTTGCCCGTCCCAGTACCTCCCCATGTTCCCTCCCAGACAACCCCTGTCATCAGTGCTGTGCCTTCTTCCAGGGCTTTTTCTATATATTTATGTATTTTCCCATGGAGAAATAAAGTACGTGGATTTGTACACTTTTTTTTTTTTTTGTGACAGAGTGTCTTGCTCAGTCACCCGGGCTGGAGTGCAGTGGCGTCAGCCTAGCTCACTGCAGCCTCAAACTCCTGGGCTCAATCAATCCTTCTGCCTCAGCCTCCTGAGTAGCTGGGATTACAGGCACCTGCCACGATGCCTGTCTAATTTTTCTATCTTTAGTAGAGACAGGCTCTCACTCTTGCTCAGGCTGGTCTTGAACTCCTGAGCTCAAGTAATCCTCCCGCCTCAGCCTCCCAGATTGCTAGGATTACAGGTGTGAGCCACCGCGCCCGGCCTGTACACATTCGTGAATGGTATCACACGCTACATGCTGTTCTGCAATTTGTGTTTTTACTTAGTGCCATGGCTGGGGGTTAGTTTTAACCCTAACTTTGCCAGATTAAGGATCAGTGATGAGGTATGTTAGTTCGATAAACAGTGAGTGAGGTTATGACGAGATGGACCCAGCAGAGCTGCAACGTCTGCCGAGACCCTCACATCTTTAGTCAGGAACAATCCATCTTTACAAGGGAAGTTGGGGGGTGCAAGCTCTCCAGTTGGTTGTTTATAAACTGACACCCCTGTCAGTTTATATAAACTGACCTTATAAACCTATAAACTGACCTTAACCTGGTGGGTTAAAACTAACCCCCAGCCATGGCACTAAGTAAAAACACAAATTGCAGAACAGCATGTAGCGTGTGATACCATTCACGAATGTGTACAGGCCCAGTGCGGTGGCTCGCACCTGTAATCCTAGCACTCTTGGAGGCCAAGGCGGGAGGATTACAGAAAGGCTGTCTGAAGGGGAAGGTTGAGAGCCCCAGGAAAAAAAGAGGCATTTGGTGGATGCTGAAAGGAGGCTGCCATTTCCCTCCGCTGTGCCGAGAAAGGGGTCTGATGTCACAGGTGTGTCCACTGACTGGCTGGCCACTCCAGGCCAGGCCCCTGAGGATGCTCAGGGGCAGTGAGAGTGCTCAAACGATGGGATGCTGAGGGCAGCTGTGGCCCCCCGAGAGCCTCCCTTGGTGGAAGTCCGAGTTGGGAGGCTGGAACTGGAGATGCTCTGTGTGACACTGGATATGACTAAAGAGGTTTCTAACCAGATGAAAGGAAATGTGGGCCCCGCTGGCATCAAAGTAAATGGCAGGGAGCTGGCGGTGTGGAGGTCTGGAGGGGCTAGCTTTGGAGAGATTGAAGAAGAAGGAAGAGTACACTGGCAATCACCTGGGCAGTGGGAGAGGAATCAGGTAGCAGGTGTTGTCCTACCTGCAATGGGGAAATTCAAAATGAAAGAGGGCTTTGAGAAAACAGAAAGGCATCTTATTCATCCCTTTAATGGCAATGAACGCGGTGGAGATAATATGATCACACGGAGCCTTTGCAAGACACGGATGGGGCTGAGGCCGGGCATCCGGAAGCCGCAAAGACGTGGGAACAAGCTGCCTCTCCCAGGGTCTCAGATAGAGAAAAGCATGCCAGGTTCATTCTAGGCTCTTCAGCCGGCAGGCTGGGGGTGGGGAGGAGGGCCACGCACAAATGAGAGTGGTCTTGGGGGATATGAGAATTGCCCTGGAGAGAGCATGTGATGGGACACCACACAGGCTGCTGAGGAGCTTGAAGAGAATGTCCCTGGGCTTGGGCATGAGGAAGTGGGTGCAGCCTGTGCTGGTGCAACTACAGAGAGCCACAGGACAGGATCTGCAGCAGCAAGGGGTGGAAGTCTGCAGAATTAAGCCTCAGGCTGAAAGGAAATCAGGGATGCAGGGACAGCCCAGTGGGGACTTAGAAGTATTGACCAGTTCCAACACACATATGACTACCAGGATAAATGGAAAGTGGCTCAAAGATTTAAATGCTGAAAAAAAAAAAATAAATAAAACCATAAAAGGACTAAAAGGCACTTTGGAACCTTGGGAGATTTCTTTTATCATGGAAGAGTAGTGAAGGCTATTCTAGACGTAACGCCCAGAAGATTACAGAAAAATAATCTTCTGATACATGAGACTATACACACACACACAAACTCTGCCTAGTCAAGTCGCTATAAGTAAAAAGGCAAGCGGAATATTAGGGAATATAACCGTAACTCGAATGACAAAGAGCAAGTTTCCTTAATGTGTAAAAAAGACCTAGAAATCAGTACAGAATAAATAATAAATCGGTAGGGAATAAATAAATAATAACCCAGTAGAAAAATGGGGAGAACATAAGAACAGACAGTTCATAGAAAAGGAAATAGGAAGAGCTTTGAAAGACGTGAAAAGACACCCTCCCTCATCCTACAGAGGAATGTGAATTAAAAC